CCCACAATTTTTATTTTTTTTTGGGTGCAACCACCCCACGTGTTCCCCCCCACTGGGCCCCACATGCGCGCCCCCGCCAGGTGCACACGATCATTTTTTGGCGTGCGCACACACCGCGCGCCTAAAACGGGATTGAGCGCATTTGAGCGCGGGCAGGGGGGGGTTGAGCTCACGCTCTCGTGCTTAAGCGCGCTCAAATGGTTGCATAGCACAGGCCCAAAGGGGTAAAACCCATTCAGGCTGGGAATTGAGTCCAGCCAGTCTGTCTGGGATCCTTAAGGGCAAAGCCAAGACCGGAAGTCTCTGGAAGGCAGTGCCTACTAGTACTGGCTGAACAGAAGACCAGCCAAAGTACTTCAGGAAGGCCGAGGCAAGTCAACGATATCTTGGTGGAAGAGAGTTTGAGGAAAAGAACACTGGGTAATGGGCGCTCATTGTGAGCTGCACTAGGAGAGGGAAGAAGTGGCTTCATCTGACAGGCAGCACCAGCAAAGGGCTGCGCTGTTAGATGACCAAGGCAGCAAGGCTGGCAGCCTGGCACCATCATCGCAGCCATGGCAGTTTGGGCACTGGGAAGAAGGCTGGCATCATGGCAGTTTGAGCGCTCAGGAGAAGGTTGGCCCCATAGCAGTGCAGTTTGGAGATTGAAGGTGGTGTTGAATAGGGAGATCCTTGGGAAGGAGGAAACTGTTACAATGGAGGAGGGAATAGTTGGCGAACTTGGCGGCAGCGGCAGGTACTTACCTGGTGGTCGGCAACTCGGAGAGCTCCACTGCGGTCAGACTCTTCCAGTGGTCGTCAGCAGGAGTGAAAGCGGCATGGAACTGTACGGCATGACACACAGTGTAGTATAGGATAGACTCTGAGTAGATGATCGAGCAGGCAGTCACTAGGAAATTAGGAATGGTACAGAGACCTGCAATGGCAGAGAAATGTTTTTGTTGTTGCTAGTGGTTGTTGGATCAACATGGATGGGTGAAAGGGGGCTTTAATCATCAAGGGACTTCAATAGTGTTCAGTCTTGTGGTCGTGTGATCAATTCTATGTCAATTCTGCTAAGTGCCTTGTTGTCTTGTGCATGTCGGTCAAGTGAGAGTTCACAGTGTTGTGTGATCTGACTTTGTCCGCAGGGTAGGTTCCTTCCATCAGCAACATTTCGTGGTTATTCTTCAAGAATCTTTCAAACTTAGGTGATTCTTTAGTCTCTTCTTCTAATCTTCACTACTCATGTTCCTTTGGTCCGCGTCAAATGAGTGAGGTGCTGTTGTGGCGCTGACTACGCCGCTGAGTGAAGTCTTGGCGTTGCCGATGGCGTGTGCTAGGACTTGGGCGCTCAGCGCCACTCAAGTTTCTGTGTTCTTGATGAGCATGAGTAGCTTGTCTGTAGAATGAAGGAAACCTGTGTTCTGAATGAGTATGATGGTATCATGGTGATGATGGTGACCAGACTCCCCAGAGTCTCCATGTGGCTGGCAATGATGAGTGAGAGCATAGGGTATGTAACCGTATGTTACTATGTGTGCAACAATCAGGTGTAGATGCTGAACCACTTGAACCTCTGTATGTTATGTGCTGAATTAATTCATAAGTTGACAGATTGGGTGCTTGTTGAATCTCCTCATAAAAAGGCCATAACCATCTACTCGGTTCAAAGGGACGCTGGACCCGGTTTCCAGCAGGTGCTGCTCCCCACTAATAGATGGAGCCTTCTTTGGAAAAAAAAAAAAAAAAAGAGTGCCTACCGACTGATCTTGAATGTGTGGAAAGTGTCTCTATCAATATGGCATGGTCAAGTAGTAAGTTTGTCTCAGTGCCTTCGCTATGATCTCAGTTTCTCGCAGTTTCTGATGGGTTGAGAGTCTTGAGACCATAGCGGAGGGAAGTACATATACTGTGATATATGTCAACTGACACAGTCTGACAGTGGAAATAGATAGCGGATAATATCCGCTGCATACCACTTGGTCGGCAGAGAACATGGATAGCTATGAAGAGGTCCACCGTAGAACTCACACATTTATCATTAGTCATAAGCGAGTACGAGGTTTCTCGGCAAGGACTCACACTCACACATGACTAGAAACAGGATCATGTCGAGAATACCTGTGACCTGTCTTTAGCACAAAAGCTTGGGCCCTTCGGAGTACTGTGGGACTTTCCAAGTCTCATGGGCCCAGTCTAACGAACCACTGACCAAACACTTGGAAAAGACGAAGCCAGATTCACAGATTATGCGTCAAAACCACTAGTGCACAATAAACCATGCCTGCGATTGTACCTCGAGATCGGAACATTCGCCGTGCGGTTATTAAACGAACTCCCAATACTCACTCCTTTCTCCATTTACCTCCTTAAAGTTCTGGAAAGCTCTAAGACTCTCTCGCCAACCCGTCCATCTAGCTGAATTTCTACACACATGTAACTTGAATTAGATGGATACAATAATATATACCTATATGGTATGTAAACGATATATATATATGACGATATATATAATATATATATATACATTATACAAATATATATATCGTCACAAACAGAACTGCCCGGTAAACCGTAGGCAGAGAGAGAGAAGAGGACAACAAACGAGGGGCTGTGACAAACTGTTT